CGAATAAAAGCTAGCGTTTTATCCCCACTTCAGCGTAGTTCAAAGCAGCGTTATAACGCTGTTCGCTGTCGCCCATATCCTATTCACCACGTTTAACATCCTATATAAACTGCAATAAGTATAAAAATGGAGTGTTATAATCGAGATATGGAGTATATAAAATATTATAGATGTACAGTGGCGATTATAGGTGAAGTTCGAAGACGATATATAGCTGCTGTAGTTGCAGCGATGTATTTGTTAAAAAAGAAAAAATACATAAGACGAAAAAATTAATTAATTTAATATAAATAAATAAGATACAAAGAGTAGCCTATAGGTTATAACCTATATAAATATGCTGACCATATATAATATATACCAACTTCGTTTGTATTATCGGGCACTGTCAATTTATCAGTCCCTTCAGCTATAATTTCTTGTTTTTATTATAATTTGCTGTTTTCCCAATGAAAAATTTTTCATACATAATTATATACAATTATATATAGTTATACATAATTATATATTATTATATATCAAATTTGTCCATTCATGTTCATACATTCTACTAATACATATAATCATATATAATTATATATATAAATTCATATATAATTTTACATAATTACGCATAGATTTATATGTAATTATACATATTGTTATACATAATTGTGTATAATGATATATAATGTTATATGATTATACATAATTATGTATGGACAAATTTCATACATAATTATGCATGAAAAATTTTTCACCGAGTTTATATGGCCTATTTTATTCACTTAATTAATTACAATCACTTGATCCAGTTAAATCGCTAGAAGTTGAACTGTGTTGAATTTTGAGCGTTTATCTGCTTCATTCGTCTTTTTAGCGATAATTAATGGAGTGGTGGTAAACGCCAGCTTTTATTCGCTAAAAGTTGGAGTGTGTCGAACTTTGAGCGTTTATTCGCTACATTCGCCATTTCGGTGAAAATTGATGGAGTAGGGTGAAACGTCAGCTTTTATTCGCTGCGTGAAATCGCACCTTAATACGTGTCCAACCCTGCTCTGTACTAAAGGTTCTCTAGGGGTGCGTTCAGATTCCCTACCCGGGTGCACTCTATTACTAGAAACACTATAGTATATGTTACATATACTATAGCACTTCTAGTATTAGAGTGCACCCTGGTAGGGAATCTGAACGTACCCTAGAGTGAATGAAATACAAGAGTGAGATAAAAAGAGAGGAAGAGTACTCGAGTGATGTTTCCTACTCTGAATTTCTGAACGATTTGGCTCTCCCATCTAGTATGTTACATCACATTTTAGAACGATGTTGAGTTAACTTCGTTACTCGGAGTAGAGTACATTTAATTGTCCAATCATGATAAAGAAATCCTAGTTATCTTTGCTGGTATTGGTCAATTAAATGCTACTCTACCCGTCGAGTAGAATTTTGGAACGTAGCCAAACAGATCTAATTTCAGAGGCCACCACTAATGCTGGTCACGTAAAATACATTGTCGTTTGGAGCCCTGCCTCATTGTGAGCTTGTTTTCACTTGTATAGTGTTCGTGACTCGTTGCATGTGATTACATGTGATAATTTCGTTCGTGTACTACGAGACACGTGTACCGATAATTTTTTACGTTGAAATACTTAGAGATCCTCAGAAGTGACGGCATTTAACAACAAGCACGTTATTGGTTTGTTGAAAAACAAAAACGCGGAGATATACTTTGTATATTTTGCACGCGTGCAACCCACATAGTCGTTGTCGCCGTTTGCCGCTATCACAACTTTAACCTTCTCACGCCGATCGTACAATTTTCTGCGTCTAGTCGAAAAACGTGGGAACGCGGCTACGATTTTTTAACTTTTTCTCAGAAACGGAATACGCCTATACGGTAGATAGAAATATCACGCGAAGCAGAGAGCGACGTCCACCAGGAGTCGAAGCGGTAACAGAATGAGTCCCCTCAACAGAGGTCCACTCGTAGGTAACCGATTGCCACCGGGTGGTATGCGTCCTTTACCGCCACCCAGGTTCGGCGGTAGATTGGCACCACATGGTATGCCGCCGAGGATGCCGTTGCCGTTGCCGAATCCGGTATTCGGCCCGATGAGACAGAGGTTGCCGTTGCCACCGCGAGCGGCCGGTGTGTCGCGACCCAACGGCCTGCTACCGCTCTTTCCTGGGCCCAGAGCACGTGGTATGGCACTCGGTGCTGTACCGCCGATGATACCACGTGGCGTCGGACCGATACGTAACTCAATACGACATTGGTATAGGAGAATACCACCGCCACCGCCACCGCCGCCACAGATGATGCCACCTATGAGACCTAGATTTGCGGCGGGTAACGGTAACATCAAAGTCAAAACAATGAACAACACAAAAAAGATCAACAAACTTGAAGTATGTATTCATATTCACACATACTTACGTGCGCCGCGGCTGGTTGTTTATTAACTAGTTAAAAATTGCTTCCTTTGTCCTTGAATTGTATGTAATATTTATGTGAGTGATCTCTCTAACAAGAGCCTCAAGAGCTTGATTTTTTACATTTGATTTGCTGATTATTTCTATATTCTCGGAGAATATAGATTTGTAGAATAAATTAAGCGCGTGAGCACAGAGGTTCGATTGGGAATGTTTTTAATAATGTTTCTCCTATGATCATGGATTGACACAAAACTTGTAAAAGATAAATTCTTTGATAAATTCTTAAAAATTCCACATGATAATCTATATTATTAGCAAAACTGAAACTTTCATTTTAATGCTTATATATGTGTCCTTATTTAAAAAAAAAATATGATTATTTAGGAATTAGAATTAAAGAAGCCATGGATGACTGATGAAATTCGTATTGAAATACAAAAGAAAAATAAACTATATGCTAAAGCAAAAAAGAACAGAAATGCAGCAGAATGGGATGAATTTAAGGATCTAAGAAACAAAGTCACTCGGATGATAAGGGATGCAAAAAATGAGTATCTTGCAAAGCATCCTGAACAGGTATTTTTTGTTTTTGTAGCAAATTTTTCTTTCTTATATATTGTTGTAGCATCTCTTCTTTTATACTTACAATTAGAGATCCTATAATAAAAGTCGGGCCATCAAAGAAATTCTGGTAAAATTCTTCGAGATAGAAAAATATATATTTCCTAGAGATCCTCTAGGAAATATATATCTTTCTTTCTCAAAGAATTTTGCCAGAATTTCTCTGATGGCCAGATTCTTATTATAGGATCTCTATTTACAATCTATGATATATGGTTAGATAATTCTATTTTGTTGTTGGTCTCCCTCTTGCTTATTTTATATATTTTACAACTTACATTTGTTGTGTTGCTTAATGCTTGTATTGCTTTTTTATTTTCTATTTATATTTCCATAATTTTATATTTCTATGTTATTAATAAAAAACGGACGTAACAGAGGTATGCATGTCTGTGTATGAATATGTATGTATGTATATGTATGTATGTACATGTATGAATGTATAAATATATGTATTTTAACACACAAGCATTTTTATCATATAAATAAAAATGATTTACATTATGCTAATTTTTATAAAAAGTGAAAGTTCACAAATATTTCATTGTAAACTCATTGTAAACAATTAAACTCTATCAGAAAATAGTATCTTCAAACTTAATATTTAACAGAAGACGAATCTTGTATGTATTTTGTTTGTTTTAAATGTAAATCTGTAAACAAAACACGGAGGTGAGATAATGACATTTATAATCATAATCCTTTAATGAAAACATTTCTAGTAGCCATTGTGCGATCAGGATTCGGTCATTTACCGTTTATGGATTACTTTGGTTTTGCAGGGTCAAAAAACAGATGATAATACGATTGAATACAAAGGTGTACAAAAAACTGAGAATTCGACTGAACAATCAGAACAAAAGGAACAAATGGAGGAGACGCAGCCTTCCAGCGAACAGGCACAGTCTTAAGCTTCAGGCTACTCCTCCTATATAAATAATTGCACAATTGAAATTACATATAACACAAGTATTGTGTTTTCAAACTTCAAAACGATTTGGTCTTTCAGTTTTGATACCATTTAGCAAATTCTCTACATTATCTCGCTCTAGATCTTGTTATAAGTTCAGTATGAATGATCTTAATGTGCAAATGCTATCCTTCATCTCTCTTTCTTCTTTCCACAATTTTCGCAGTATAACATTTACGTGATAGACCTTGATATATTTTTTTTTTTCATTTACATCATCAGCATATATAAATGTACACCCTAAATCTTGATACAGTTACTTTTAAGAAATTAGCATTTACTAAAAACAATGAATTTTAGGTAGAATTTAGAATTTTAGTTCGTGTAAAGGTCGTTCTACATTAGTTGCAAGTCGATTGCAACTCTTGTTGCGACAGCCAATCAGAAGCGTCAATAATACCATTGATGCTTCTGATTGGCTATCGCAATAAGAATTGCGTCTACTTGCGATCGATTTACAACTAATGTAGAACGACTTTAAGAGAGTTAACAATTTGTTTAAATCTCTTTTTCTTATATACTAGTATATTTTTATATAACGGATATAGCTTCTTAGATAAACGTCTGAATTTGTTAAAGTATTGTAATTTATCATCAGAAAGCATGAAATTAAGCTGTTTGTAGGTAAATTTTTTTTTTTATCTCTTTCCTCATATTTATGGCCAGTTACAGTACAGTGCTGCAAGCTATAATATTATATTAAGGAATATAATATAGTAGCATATGATAATTTACCAGAAAACTGACGTACAAACAATTTTATATATTCTTCATATACATTTTAATATAACATGCAAAAAGAAAGTCTGAAGTAGCTTGTAGCACCGATAGAGATTAGTAATATAATTTTTATAAATAATTATGGCAATACGCATGTGATATGTTCCATATTATTCATTTCATAAATGACTTCCAGAACATATAGTAAGATAGATGAAAACTAAATTTGTAATTAAAGCGTATATTACAAGAATAAATAATATTTCTAATACTTGTGTTTTTCATCATTCTATCACATTCTGAACCGCCAAGAACAAACATTGTTTTCGTTTGTCAAACAATCGTTCTGAAATATAGAAATAATCATTTGTAATATTTTAAATTTAGTAATTTACATTTTAATTAATGATAAAGTAATACTTTAACTACTTAAACTCATTACTTTAGTATACATTAATCAAGCTAATATAACATGAAATGTAAATAAAATCGAATGAAATACGTCTATATATATATATATATATATATATATATATATATATATATATATATATATATATATAAAACATAGAAGAAAAGGGGGACTGAATATATACATATATTATCAATATTTTATTTTATAATTATATAATTGTGTAAAATATTTCACTATTAAGCCTCCCGTGTAAGTGTATGCTTATGTTATATCGCTAGTATGCTTTGTAAAAGTGACTAACCAATGCTTGGGCAAAATATTCGCAGATTTGTATGAATCTCAAAATATGCAATTCAAAAAGAGAAAGAATGGGTAGATGGGGAGTAAAGTAAAACAGTTAGAACGAATATGTGCTTCCCGGATTCGAGAAAATTGGAAGGTTGAATTTCTGAATACTCCGGCGATAGTTTTAAAATTTTAATTAATAATAATTTATGCTTATGATATACAATATGTACACAACGAATGACCTACAACTGCAGATGATATATTAATTAATAATTTTCGGTAGATACATTCATACACATATTGAAGTGTAAAATAAAGTTAAAATAGTGAAATGAATTAAGATTTGTGCAAATAATAGTTAATATATTACGAAAGAATTTGCAAAAGTACCCAAAAAATCAGATTTTTATAGCGTATAAAAAATATTTTAAGTAACGATTTTTAGGCTTATCTGTATCCGGATGATGAAGAGTCGTATGATCAAAGTGATGTTGGCTCCGAAAATAATACGTCTTATTATTGCAATGTATGCGAAATATTTTTTTCATCTAAGTATACTTTCATCGAACATAATGGCACACATAAATTTTGCGATATTGACGATAATACAATTGTAGAAATTCCTTTGCCCGTCCCGAGACATATTAGTATGCAACATAATACCGATTTATGTGCAAAATCGAAAGATTTGTCAAAAGAGGAAGCTGCGAGAAATTGGATAGAAGAACGAAGAAAGTAAGTTACATATTGTGCGTTAATATTAATAAATATTTATGTTAATATTGAACATTTATGCTTTTCTCGAATATCGCTATTTTGATACAAATACAAGGGGTCTGTTTTCTATTACTGAACTGGCTGCACTAGTTCTCTCTTATCTTTCTTCTACCAAATTTTATCTGTATATCTATCTCTTTAATTTCCGAAAGTGTACACTAGTTCAGTAATAAAAAACAAGTAATAAAAACCAAAATATAAATACATCTGTATTTTTGTATATTTAGTTTCAAATCTATTATATATTTCATTATTCATCTAATATTCCATTATCTATCTTTTATAAATCTAATTCCATTATTTGTATAATGTTAATGTGTGTACAATTTTATTTTATTAATGTAAAACAGAAGGTTTCCCACTAAAGATAACATTATATTATGCGAAACTGAAAATCTAAAAAAATCACAAAGAGGAGAGGTAATCAAACAAAAATGGGATGCTCTTAAAACAACGAATAAGGCGAGTACGCGCAGGGAAATACCATACAATCAAATAGTATATAAAACTGATGACTATTTTCATTCAGACGAAACATATTTACATTCTGAGATAAGTAAGTTACATATCTATGCAAATGTATTTTTGCTTTATACATAAATATAAAGTTTAATTTGTATTAAGTATTAATTTTGTCTTGCACAAGATATCGAATATAACATATTTTCCACTAAACATTATTCATATTATAGATATTCTGCAGGAGGAAGATTTTAGTGAAACATGTTTCAACACACAGACAGATTTCCCTAAAGAAACAGCCAACAATATTTTAGATGAGGATGCTAATTTATGTACGCCTATTTTAGTAACAAATTACAAAATCGAAGAAGAGAGTAAGCAAAATTTACTCATTCTTAATATTATGAAATATATTCTTCCCTCCTGGCTCCTCGCATTGTCTATCTCTTTTTAATGACATCAGAAGCGAGAAAATGCATGCTAAAAATTCTTGCGAAATACATTGAAATAAAAATATATATCCATAAAGTAACACTTGCAATCGATTAAACAAATTTGTAAGATATTCCGTGCACTTCCCTTTTGCTCTAACAATCAATAATTTATTATAAATTAATCTGAATAGAAATAGATTAAGAAGATGAATTGTATGTCACGTTAATTTACGACAAATTATTGATTGTTAAGGCAAAAGGGGAGTGCACGGAATATCTTACAAATTTGTTTAATCGATTGCAAGTGTTACTTTATGGATATATATTTTTATTTTAACGTATTTCGCAAGAATTTTTAACATGCATTTTCTCGCTTCTGACGTCATAAAAAAGAGATAGACAATACAGAGGGCTAGGAGCCTTAATATTATGAAATATATTCTCTTATTTTTTCTTTTTTTTATGAGAAAAATATTTTAAAACTTGTATAATTATTGTTACATTATGTTCTTGATATAAATAAATTTGCTACCAATGAGGAAACTAAAACTGATTTTGATTTTAGATGCTTTTCCTAAAGAAAGAATGCAAATGGAAGATCTTCGAGATTATAAAATAACAGAAAATGCAATTTTTAAAAGAACTTTTAATTATGCACAATTTTGCACAAGTACAAGCAAAAATAAATCTAATTATCCAACAATTAATGAAATATCTCAGAATCCCGTCATTGAATGTCAAGATAAATATAAGTACAAAAGAAATCAAATAGTGAAAAATAAAAGACTTGAGAAAGTTCCAAGTAGATATTATAACATCTTGCTAGAGAAGTTGCTCTCGCGTTCTATACAACACGAAAGAAATTTAATTTTTCAATCCTTAAAATATATCATAGATAGCAATTTTTTTGAGTTATCTGAAGTGAAAATATTGCAAACAGGACTAACTACACATGAGTCATAATGAATCGACTGAAATTTGTAAGTACAAAATTCATAAAAAACTTGATACTAGTAATTAAAATGTAAAGTGAGGTATCATAGTTTAAATTAAGATCTACTTCCTTTCTTAACTACCTTTTTATTCATTTTTTTCAAGACAAAACGTTTTAAGCATAAACAAATATAAAAAGAAAGGTAAATAAGAATTATATTTACAAATATATTTTTTGCCGTTTTATTTACATGTATACAAAATATAAATTTCATATCTTGTCTAAATATTAAAAAAAATTTATATAAGTTATGTATTTGAAGAAAATCTCTTTTTCTTTTTCTTATATTTCTTCAGATTTTCTTGTATGCTGTCGTCCTCGGTCGATCTTTTCTCGCCAGTCTTTACAGAAATAAGATTTTTACTGTGTTTGCCGGATAACGCGCTAGACCATTCCGCTTCCGAGCCTTTAACAGCATACTGTTCTAGATTTTCCTGCTTCAGTTTTTCTAATTCTTTCTTTTGCTTCATCTTCAACTCCTGAAATGTTTGATATTATTTTCAATACACGTTATAAATGAGAATTCTCATATAAAAACAATGTATAAACCTTAGCTGCGCTCTCTAATTCCTCGTGTAGATTTTGTCCACCCAAAGGATCCACTTTTACTTGTCCATTCACCGACGATCTTTTAGTCATTACAACATTTGCAACATGTTCCTCTGCAACGTTATTTAAATATTGTGTTGACTTACGTACGATACGGTTGAATAGACCAAGTAGTTGTGAAGATGGCAAACTTAACTCTTCTGCCAGCTTGTCCACAGTTTTGTGTTGTAAACCTAAACCTAGTAGAATTGCCTAAAAATTTTCATGTGCTTAATTCGCAAAAGAAAATTTTCTTTTTTTTGTACAAAATAAAAGTATTAGGAGTTCAAAATAACTTACAGACTGTGCTGCTGAGAAATGAGTATCCCCCATCATATTTAAAAAGTATAAGCGAGCTAACGATGGCAATAAATCCATAATTACATGGTAATCCGTCATGTTGTTGCTATACATTTGTAAACGCTTCAAATCGTACGATGTGAAGTGAATGTCCAATATTTCTTTATTTAACACTATATAAAAAAAATATATATGTTATTTATTTTAAAATATATATGTATATTTATTTTAAAATATATGTTATTTATTTTAAAATATATGTTATTTATTTTAAAATATATATGTATATTTATTTTAAAATATATGTTATTTATTTTAAAATATATGTTATTTATTTTAAAATATATATGTATATTTATTTTAAAATATATGTTATTTATTTTAAAATTTAAATTGCTTTTACTGAAATATGTATGCGATTAATTAGTCAGAAGTTTTCATTGCGATAAATTTTGTAATGTATGTGTAAAGAAATTATTCTACATAAAGTGTGATTATATAAATCTGTAATAAATTAATGATAAACTGATAATAAATTAATAATAAATAAATATGTGTGAATTATTGATAAATTAATAGCCAATTAACGACAACATAATGCACTTACCAACGGATTCTAGTTCTATTGTTTTGTTAATAAGTATGCTCAATGCAAGTGACGCTGTATATGTGCTAAATGCATAAGAGAGTAAACTCAAGAATCGCCGGCGAAAGTCGCTCCAATAATCGCGCAACCATTCAGAGGTAGTCAATTCTCTGTGGGTTCTGTAGAGCATAATGCATGTATGTTCTCCTGTTATGTCATTTGCTGTTTGCCTGAAAGATCATATACATTTAAGATTTATATTATACATTTAATTTTTAATCTAACAATAACACTGATTGTATAATGATTTTTCTCTTTTAATTATGCGTATACCTTAAATATACGGGTACAAAATTAGCTCGTTTCCAGAACTTCAGTAGTTGCTCAGTAATCCCAAAGGATACGCCGATGTAATCCAGTTGTTCCGGAGGTCTCTCGCTTAATTTCAATAACAACGGCGGTAGTGAACTGCGAGGTTCTGTGAAAATAGTTAAATAAGCAAAACGATGTTTTGTTACATTGTATATATAAATCGCGTTTATAAAAAACAAAATCTTCAAAAATCTATTAAAAAATTAATTATTACCAAAGTCCTATAATAACAGTTAAAAATAAATGATAGTAATAGTAGATTATTACATGATAATTTTAAACATAATATTGACGAATATTAATGAAAAGATCATTAACAGAATGTAAATAATGTGAAATTATACCAATAGTTTCCTCTAATAAACTGAGTGCCTCGTCGGAGACGTTTTTGATTTCTGTTATTGGCTCTTGCGTAACATCTTCGTTAATGTTAGGTAGTTGCATTTCATAATACTGCTTCAATAGCAGCAACGCTCGGCTACCGTATCCCATCTACAATTATACGATTTTTAATGAAATCATGTAATATTTGTATATCTATGCGCTAAATGATGAATAATAAAAAAAACACATACTCTGTGATAATCCGGATGTGTAGCAATACGAACAATGCGCGCACCAGACAATACTGGAAAGTCTTCATCTTGATATTGCTGAGCAATTGTCCATGGTATCAAATCGCCGGATGCTCTGCGACCTCGCGAGAGACCCTCGCTCACACTACTTTTACTAATTTCACCTTCTAAGCATATCTAAAATATTTTTGTATAGACAATCTATGTTTTGTGATAATATCGATGCGTGTAGTATATGCATAAATTACTCACGAATAATTCAGGATGTTTTTTTAAATATATCTATTCTATATATTTTAAAGAATATGATTATACTCACTTGCAGTACGACTAATATCTCAGGTAAAGTTTTTTTATTAGTATCCACAGGTCCCAATAGACAGAACAAATGATGTGCAGGTGCATCAGACATCATTTGCAAATCGTTAGGCGTGTTCTAAGATAAATAATAATGGATAATTAATAAAATGACATTAATATATTGTTTTATAAAGTATAGTATGTTTTTATGTTGAAGAAGAAAATAGCCCTCACTTTATAATGCGATGCAACATACAGAGACACCAGTCTCTGTAAGAATAATTCGGAAGCCTTGTGATAAGAGAATAATGTATCCCTGAGAAAAGAATTTCTTTAGAAACATTCAAGGTAATAATTTCAAATGCTTCATTCTTTGCATATTAATTTTCGAAATTGTAAATAATAAATTATTGCACACGTTTTACAAATTATATATACATAATCATAATCTACCTGTTTATGTAATATAACTGACACATATCGGGAGGAGGACATCCAGATAAAATAGGTGCATGTATCGTAGCGTTCAAACAAAGTAAATCGCACAACCACTCTTCTACAGCGTCATCGGGTTTGTAACGGATCGATTCATCAAGAGTGAGTTCGTATAACTGTCTTCCAATAAGAATTTTCTCATTTTGCTCATCATTTTTACCATGACTATTTGATCCAACAGTCTGTGTCCTTAATTGCTGCAGCAGTTTGAGCGACAAAGACCGGCCTGTGCCTTCATATCTACAAAAAGATCGTAATGAATATAAAATATTGTATAAAATATTGTACCTATAAAATTTTTTTCTACAGTAGAAAAGTTATTTACCCATTTATGGTCGACGCAAGAAATATCAGATAAGGTCCAAGCATGGCCTTAACATAGGGCAAAGGAATTGCTGCTGCTTCGTCGATTACAAGCAATTCTGCTTGATTCAACTTATGTGTATCCGTTGGATGGATATACTGTGCAAAAAGCAAAAGATCAATGTATTAATTTGTAATTCAATTAAAAGTAACAAGTATCGATTTCTTGTTATATATACGACTAAGATAATTTATTATATATTTTATCAATGTGTTTTATAATGTGTCTTTGATAATAGTTTCATCCGAGAATAATCTGCATAAATTAAAATTTTCAATTTTTTAATTGTATTATATACCTGAATTGTTTGGCGATGGTCACGAAACACATTTACTCGCACCGTAGCTTTGTTGAATTCGGGGTTTGTAGATTGCACTAAACCATAGTCTAGATGTTCCTGATATCCCAAAGCATCAAATCCTATGATAAAAAAATTATATAAGCAAATACGAATTTGTCACGCGAATTTTTCACATGATAATAACGTTTTACAAAATTCATTAGAACAAAAATTAATAAACGTATAAAATTTAAATTAATAAACGTAAATATAAAATTTAATTTACCTTTGAATATAAATTCAAAAAGTGTGTTCAAATTTTCTGGAGAAGGACTTGAAATATATATGTTAGAATATCCAAAAGTAACAGCACCAGCAATGGCAAGTCCCAATGCAGCTGATTTTCCACGCCCTCTAGCAGCAGTTAACGATATAGTAGACCGTAATGTTTTCTCCGAAATACATTCAATGAATTTCAAAACTGCTTTTGCCTAAAAATATTTAAATAAAACATGACTAAAAATGTATGCATACTGTTGGAAACTTCTAATTTTTTTCTTGTGTTTTAAATTTTATTTTTATATAACAAAATTGATTATAAACTATTATTATATTGAATGTTCATCTACTGACTTAGACAATTTACCTGATCGGTCGTTTTACAACAATTAATTAATGCAGATACAGGCTGAGTGTCTTTTAGATTCTCTTTTAAAGTATCCAAACTTGACTGTTCTTCTGATATAATGGACTTATGCACAGGCTCTATTTTTAGATTATGAGAAGATATGGGCAATACATTTAGCTGATCATCAACAACTAAACACCGATTACAAGAAGCCAGGGATAACAGAAATCTTTCGTTAAATCGGCATACTATGTCCTAAATTAAGTAAATAAAAGAATATTATCTTTAGTCTTTGGTCTGTTCTTTTCGGTTGCACTGCTGAACTGGTGCATAAATTAGAATGAGAAAAAATATACTTGTCTCACTCTAACTTATTGCACCAGTTCAGCTGAAAAAAACAGACCACTTGTTACACATTACAGCATGTTAAATGTACATTAGAAAATAATATATTCATACTTTATGAGCTTCTGTACGAAACCTCTGGTGGACATCCATATTCATTGTATATAATTGCTTTAAAGAATTCATAGACTGTAATAAGAATATAATTACTCCACCACCTTCTACTGTTTCAATAGTACGTGCCAATAGATTTGGTGTAATTGCTTCAAAATCCTGAAAATGAGACATTCTGCTGATAATATTAATAAATATATTAATAAAAAAAAAGAACTAGTACTCACCTGCAATATGCACATGCCATAAGTGTTACCTAATATTTTATGTGTTTCATTGTAATAGCAATAGCGAATGTTGGTTGAAACAACAAACAATTCAAACGGATCATCTTCATTAACATCCAATTTACCCGACTTAATTTTCTTCTGTAAAGACTTCATACGTTTCTTTCTGTGACTACTAAAACCTAGATCTTTCCTATAGCACCATAGTATAGAAGGTCTAGCCTTTACAACAGTCTTGGATAACATATGATGCAATAATACTACCTGAAAGAATATTCTTTTATAATCTTTTATAATTATATAAGCAATAATATAATGAACTGTATGAATATTTTTAATACTTTGCAGGCACATGTTCCGCAACATTCTACACGTGCAATCTAGAAGAATCCGATCGAATACTTACTTGATCTTTTGCTCTCTCGCCGATAACGATAAACATTGTTCTGTGTCCCACAGTAACACCATTTTCAATCAAAACTCGTATACGATTATCTATCTTCTTACGAACCATTTTAATAAAATTTATTTTATCGGCCTTTGTCTTTCTCTAACCTTCGAATCAAGTTTCACGCACTACTATTCTGGCTGCGTTCCGAAACTCACTGTCAGTACTTGCAGTACTGCAAAGTCGTTCCGAAATACGTCGCAGTAAGCTTTCAATGTACTTTCGTTAACACGTGACGTCATATATTTTGACGTAATTTCCTGCTTTCGTTACTGCGGCTGGCGAGGTAAGGCACTGGCAGTGAAAAGATGGCGGCGCCCTGTGATGAGACGTTAAGCCTCATATGTTCAGAAAGTAATAAAATATATAATGTAACAGTTAGTCGTGAAGATGCTGAAAAAGCACGTACAGGTATAAGTTTGTAATAATCAATAATTATTTTACTTTTATAATTATTTTATTTTTATTTTATTTTGTTTATTTAATTTAGGATTTAATAATTTAAATAAGAATTGAAAAGTACTTCGTTTAAGTCTGAAACAATAAATTCCATTTTCTTGATATTACTTTTTTTTTTTAATAATCAATGGCACATTTTATCATATTTCTTTTACATGCGTTTGATGTACATTAGGTAAAAATTGTATATTGTTTTCTGTACCGAAAGTGCATTTGAAATTCCTCGTCTGTATACAATGGTATAACACTTTCAACATAGTCCTTGCAACGAAAACGTGGAGTCAAATTTCTATTAAGAGTCCTTAAAAATATATCATCTTCTTCGCTATCTGAAGAACTTTCAGAAGATTCTATTACATATTTTACAACTTTTGTTAAAATCACAATCTCCATATCACGCTATGTTTGATCCATAATTATCTATGAAACTTGTTTATCTTAACCTCCACAATACTGAATATTTCTACTGCGAGTCCGTTCCGTTATTGATTGCATTACAAGCTGAAAAGCAGCATTAGTAATTACGGAACGGATCCGCAGTTCTACTTTATGACGTCATACTTTCAGTACTGGCAGTTAATTTCGGAACGCAGCCTCTGTCCAAAAGCAGAAATATCTCTCTCTCTCTCTCTCTCTCTCTCTCTCTCTCTCTCTCTCTCT